TGCCCATTCCGCCAGTACATAAAGAGCAAGCCAGCAAAGTATGGAATACAAATCTGGTGGAACTGTGATGCTGTCTGCAGCTATCCCGTCAATGGCCAAGTTTACTTGGGAAGGCAAGCTGGCCAACCAAGAGAAGTAAATCAAGGAGCACGTGTAGTGAAGGAGATGGTTCAACAATGGAATGGGACAGGACGGAATGTCAACGCTGACAATCTCTTTACCAGTGTGTCTTTAGGGGAGGATCTGTTAGCTCATCACTTGACCTATGTTGGAACAATCCGGAAAAACAAGCCAGATATCCCTCCTGAGATGCAGCCAAGTCATAGAAGACCTGAACATTCCCCCGTCCTTGGATTTGCGGATCAGCTAACATTGGTTTCTTATGTGCCAAAGAGAAACAAATCATGCTTTCTTCCATGCACCATGACCAATCTACTCAAGGTGAGCTTCACAAACCAGAAATCATAACTGACTACAATGCTCACAAAGGAAGTGTTGACAATATGGATCATTTGGCTGGAATCTACTCGGTAAAACGTAAAAGCATCAGATGGCCTTTGGTTCTCTTCTACAACATTGCGGATGTTGCTGGAATAGCGTCCTATGAAGTATGGCTCTGCAATTACCCAAATTACCTCTTCCTGCAGGATCTGGGTTCAGCTCTCGTAAATGACATTCTTCAACAACGTCTTCAAAACCCCAGGGCATTGCAAAAGGGTGTGAAATCTGCATTTGTGGATCTCGGTATGCTCGACATTAGACGGAATGCAGCTGAAAAACCACCGGCTGCGAAGAAGCGATGCTACCTTTGTCCTAGGACAGCTGACCGCAAAGTTCGTCAATGCTGTGCAAACTGTGGCAACAACGTCTGCAAAAAAACATTCTTCCGAGAGTGTTTGTTGTGACGAATGTGTCTAAATGATGTCAAATTATGCACTGTTCTGTGATAACAAATTCCAAATGGTGTCGAAGTGGTTCTGAGGTTGAAAGTTACTTTTTGTTTCAAGTTTTAATGATGGGGTCCAGCTGGGCCCCCGAGCTCTAGATGTTAACTTTGTAGAAATACTACAACTTAATGCATAGCAACTGCAACTTTTCTTTATTTTTTTCTATTGTTCTGTCATAAAGAGCCAATATGACAATGCTCATTTCAAGACTTTAGAGAAATGCAATTTTAATGCGAAAGCATAAAAAGTCAAGTTTTATTTATGTTCTTTTTCTTGGTATATTGTCCTGAAAATAGAACATTTTATACACTAAAACCTTTTAGGCTGTTTAGTGGTGGTATTCCATAAAATCAGGGAAGTACTTCATTGAAATTTAGACTGAAATGGTGAAAGCAGATATAAAAGATGTTCAAACCCCAGGTTGACAGATTAGTCAGTCTGGAAACGTGGCCTGATGAAGGTTAATGGTTGTGACACTTTTTATTGAATAACCCCTACGTTTTATTAGCATATATCATCCTTCGATTATGCAGATGGCACCATGAAAGATATCCATGTTAGGGACCGTTCACAATCTATGGCTAGGTGAGTGATGATGGTCATGTAGATTTTGAACAAAATGGGTGACCCCCCCCCCCCTTAAAATCATCACCACACCCCCTTTTATCTCTCTCTCTCTCTCTCTCTCCTCTCTCTCTCTCTCTCTCTCTCTCTCTCTCTCTCTCTCTCTCTCTCTCTCTCTCTCTCTCTCTCTCTCTCTCTCTCTCTCTCTCTCTCTCTCTCCTAGATACGCCGGAGATGAATAACGAACTACATCTCTGTCATGATTATTGTATATTTACATATGAACGTACATTGAGGGCCTGTAATTGTTAATGAAAGCAACAAAACCTTTTCCACAACCACAAGAAACATCTGCCAAGAGAACAGTCCATTATACGATTTTTAATATATCATAAGCATATGTTTGTGAATCACTATCAAACAGGCAAACAGATGGAGCAGGTGTCCGCGAAAAGATGGGCACATCATGTGGCACCTGTTATAAACATATGCAATGTCGAGTCAAATGATCATGCATAAACATAGTGTTTTATTTCTACAACACAGTTTCTGGTAGCGCCAGAGAACTGAAAGCCAGATTAGAGACAGCAGAAAAGGTATTTCTTCCAATATACCATTCTCAGTATTCTCTGTGTATAGCTGCAGACTTAATTCCTCACCATATATTACATGATGTATTGTCAGTTTTTATAAAGCCTAAATGACCCGTGAAGATCCGGGTTAGAATTGATCTTCAGTAACCCATGCAAGTCGTAAGAGGCGACTAACGGGATCGGGTGGTCAGGCTCTCTGACTTGGTTGACACATGTCATCGTATCCAAATTGCGCAGATCGATGGTCATGCTGTTGATCACTGGATTGTCTGGTCCAGACTCGAATATTTACAGACAGCCGCCATATAGCTGGAATATTACTGAGTGCAGCGTTAAACAACAAACCAAACCAACTAAAACCTAAACACACTTAAACATGAAGTGGTATCGACCAACAAGATATTGTCATTTGTAGACATTGTCAACATAGTCATGTGATATCACCATCAGAATGTTAGTTACAAGCAGTATGCCATCGTGTTCCGAAGACCTGTACTGTCAATGTGACTATACCTGTAGATTTCAGTCCAACTGTTACTATCAAATTATAAACATATTTTTAATTCGTATTTCTTACTTACTGTTAACATGGCTTTACTATTGCGAAACAAAATCGTATATTGTTGATATTTTTCACACTAGACTTGTCGTGAAACTATTGAGATCAGGTTTTGTGTCGTGTTTTCAAATATTGTTATACATTCCATGCAGGAGGTGCAAGAGTTGGGGAGACAGATTACCAGTTTGGAAAATGGTATGGCCTTAGTCAACTAAAATGACTTTTTTTGGATAATTTTATTTTACTTTACTTCAACTCCCCTCGATGGCATAGACAATCTAAGATATTGTGATATCAATCATCTTTGATGTCGTATCGTGGTCCCAAAATTCTGTTTGTTGAATTTACAAATTCGATATAAGTAATTATTGATAAATGCATTGACATAATCATAATATTTCGTGATTCCACATTACGAAAATAGTGAATAGTATGTTCCTTTGTCGTCTTCTATATGGACATTAAATATTTGGTTGCTGTTCTTCCAGTATTACTTTATCACCTTTCAGATGAATGGAAGGAGCAGATGGAATACCTATTTTTGGAGGTTGATGTTCTGAAGTTATGTCCACTGCTGCACACATTCCATACCGTAAGTCAGTGGCTCAAATGTTGATGCTTATCGAATGATGTAAAGTTTGTTTGTTGTTTAACGCCGCACTCAACAATATACCAGCTATATGGCGGCGGTCTTTAAATAATCGAGTCTGGACCAGACACTCCAGTGATCAACAGCATGAGCATTGGGATACGCAAATGGGATACGATGACATGTTTCAACCAGGTCAGGGAGCCTGACCACCCGATCCCGTTAGTCGCCTCTTACGACAAGCATGGGTTACTGAAGATCAATTCTAACCCGGATCTTCACGGGTCGTATTGAGAAAACAGCAGGAAGGGCTTTAGATGGAAAAGGAATTTCAGTGTACGACAAGCATGGGTAGTTGAAGACCAGTTCTAACCCGGATCTTCAGGGGTCGAATGATGTAAAGATCCAGTGAGACATTTCAAGGAAAAACCTATGGATGCAAACAGTAATTAAATACCGTTTGTGTAGTGTAGACAGTCCATTTTCTCCAAAATAGCATGAAAATTTTGGTTTCATTATTGCCGCTCCTTGAAATATGATTTTGCCAGTAAGAAACATACTTCACATTTTGATCGCTCTTTTCAGAAAAACATACTGACAAATTGTATGAATGGGGCGTCATCGACAAAAGAAGACATGTCACGTGAGTGCCACTGCGTTTTTGATAATTGAGTGAGTGAGTGAGTTATTATTTAACGTCACATCGGCAATATTTCAGCCATATTTTGATAATTGATAACTACCATGCAATTGGTAACAGAACTTCACGTTCTGTGTATGTAAAACCGACATACTTCTGGAAAGTGAGTGAGTTTAGTTTTACGCAGTATTCAGCAATATTCCAGGTATATGGCGGTGGTCTATATATACATAATCGAGTCTGGACCAGACAATCCAGTGGTCCACATCATGAGCATCGATCTACGCTACTTTTGGAAAGATAATTACATGCTGATTTTACAGCACAACAACCTCAGGAGAGGCTGATGGGTGATGACGAACTGAAGGAGAAAGAGCTTGAGAAGAGAATCAGTCAGAAGGAGGAACTGTTTCATTTCCTCAGAATGGTAAGCGTACAAGAGATTCATTTATGCAATCTGATAGATTTTGAAGACAAATTATACATCACAGCATATATGCCTCTCATTTTGTTACATGGACAGTAGGTCGGTGGGGTAGCCTAGTGGTTAAAGCGGTCGCTCATCACGCGAAAGGCACGGGTTCGATTCCCAACATGGGTACAATGTGTGAAGCCCATTTCTAGTGTCCCCCGCCGTGATATTGCTAAAAGCGACGTAAAAGTAAACTCAATGACGCACACTCCACAGACAGTAAAAGTAGCCATGGCTAATGTCATGTGCATGGTGACATAGATGTTTTTGGTCCAGCCATGTAAGGGGATGCAATTAGTTGTGCAAAGTTGCCGCCCTTAGCCAGAGCAGGTTCTACTGGATTGTTATGATTACCCCGATTCAGCCTGAGTCTGCTGCTCTACGCTTCGACACTGAGTGACACTGAGTGTCGAGGCGTAGCGCAACAGACCCCAGGAACCAGGCAGTACCCGACTGTGACCTGGGATCTGTCATCAGTCTACACCTGGATTTCAACTATATATTTTGTTATTGGTCTAAACTTGTACAAAGTAAATGTTAAAAGGGTGGTGCTCATTGTATATTAAATGTCATCATATTAACTTTGTGAAACACATTCTGCATAATCTGTGTTTCACGAATATATGGCAAGCCCACAACAGTTTCTCCACGCTTAAAAGACAGGATCGGTAAAAAAATATTATGCGCAAATTTGGATAATATGTCCACATGTTTATGAATGTATTCGTTTGTCAGTCCTCCGAATGCCATACATACGTACACACACATATTCACGCACGCGCATACATTGTTCACTGTATTGTATTTACAACAGGAGTGACTCGCTCGGGAAATATCATTTTTCCGGCACGAGTGTTGTAAATACATTATGACATCTACGCGAGTGTGTTAATGTTTTTATTATCCCCTACTCTTCAGAAGGCTTTAATTACAAATAACTGTGTTCTACCGACAGTTCCAATGTTGAAGGAGATCAAAATATAGCCTGGGAGCGTATGAATACAAATACGACAAGTCGCTGCGCACTGACAGGAACTGTTGTAGGAGTAAAAATCTAGCGCCAATTTATAACAGTCAAATTCTGACAAATACATGATGTAAAACGTAACAAATTAAAAAAATGTGATATGTGCTAGTTTTTAGTGAAAGTAGTGTTTATTAATGCTGATAAATGTGTAAGAAAGTAGAGTAACTGAAGTTGTATTAAACATCGTATTCGTAGTCCCGCCTTCCGATGTCACGTGATTGTCTCAACCGGCCAATGAAATCTAGGCTTTATTACACGTGTGCTACGTATCGAAAATATGTCATCACTTATTTGAACACATATGGATAATAATGCCCTGTATGTTTGTTTCAGGTTGTTATTGATACGAGGACTAGGCTGCTGCTGCTGCAGGAGGTGGCCACACCTGTAGAAATGGGTACAGAGCGTTTACCAAATGTGAGACAAGTGCGACATGGTAATACCAGTTTTAGTGAAATTCACTCATTCTAAATATGGCGATGCTTTGTTATGTTACAACTGTTTGACTAATTAATACACGTACAATATAAAAAAACATATTTTAAATATAAAACAACTTATTCGCCTTTCAGATGCTGGGACAGAAAAACATATGGAAGCTGACTCGCAAACACAAGTATGTTTTCTGTTCAATGTTTTCTTCATATTGCCATGGGGGTTACATGTAATGCCTGTTGACAATATATTCAAATGCATTGCATCAGGTACCCAAACCCAAGATCACTGGGTTCTGCCATGCAGACCATGGAACAAATATATCCAAGAAAGCCGATGCAAGTTTACACTACAACAGTTTCTGAAAAAGAAGAAAGTCTCCATTTCATTCTATTTTGTGATTGTTTTTTAAGGAACTGTTATTTTTTTCTGTAAAATATGTTCATTTCAGGGACTAGATGTTAGTCTATGCCATGTCTCTGCTATTCAACTCTGTACACTACTTGGCTACTCTTGAAACGACTTCCTCTTGCGAGAGGGGGGGTAGCCTAGTGGTTGAAGCGTCCGCTCGTCACGCCGAAGACCCGGGTTCGATTCCCCACATGGGTACAATGTGTGACGCCAATTTCTGGTATCCCCCGCCGTGATATTGCTGGAATAAAAGCGGCATAAAACCATACTTACTCACTCATTCACTCACTCACTCCTCTTGCAAGAGAAACGCCTCACATTACGCCATTTCATATTACTCTCACCGACATTAACTGTACTGAAGTGACTTAGATATTATGTAATATAATGTTGGTAATACTTCTTTATCCCAGCTGAAGACTCAGACCAAGCCAAAGAGCTTATTCCGCAAAGTAATTGGTTCTTTCAGGAAAAAAGGTAAACCCATTAGATCTACTTTTTGCAACTAGATATTTTATTGTCATCCCAGTTGTACAAGAAAAAGTATATCTGCACGCGGAACTTAAAGTCACATAGAAAACCATATATACAAAGCAAATGATGTTATCATACAATACGTAAAATATGTCCTTAAAGCCACATGCATAACCATATACACAAAGCAAATGATGTTATCATACAATACGTAAAATACGTCCTTAAAGCCAAATGCATAACCATATACACAAAGCAAATAATGTTATCATACAATACGTAAAATACGTCCTTAAAGCCACATGTATAACCATATACACAAAGCAAATAATGTTATCATACAATACGTAAAATACGTCCTTAAAGCCACATGTATAACCATATACACAAAGCAAATAATGTTATCATACAATACGTAAAATACGTCCTTAAAGCCACATGTATAACCATATACACAAAGCAAATAATGTTGTTGTATGTTTGTCATTGTACCCCAAATCCGATTTGCCAGTGCCGATTTTATCTAGGCTGTTGTGATGAAGCTGAAATCAATACACACTCACTTACGTTGTCTAAGACTTGGTCGTATCTGTGTAGCCATATCTTAATATATTCCAGTGTTTTACTTTCAGCCACAAGAAAGAGAAAGAAGGAAAAGACACAAGAGCAGGTTTGAACGAAAGTTTAGTGCTGCCACTTTTGTAGCATATATTTTGCAACCGAAATTCATTTCTCGTCATTTCAGTGATTTGTATATGTTTTCGAAATTGTTAGTTTTTCCTCTTTACTACGTAATGTTACATTTCGATTATTCTTTCGTTATTTAAAGTCTATTGAAATAGTCGAAATTTCGATTTTTTTTCGCTGTTTCAATTATTTCCAAAGTACTACCAGTATATTCTTGATATTTCAAGTATTTTCATGTCACTTCGATTACTTTCTCATAATTTCAAATATTTTCTCATTATATGAGTAACGTATGGATGTCAGGAACTTTGTTTTCAGTCTCAAATATTTTGATAAGAATGAGCATATATGTCAGCATCCTGTCCTCAAAATAAAAGAACAAAAAAGGAACTATACGGGGAATGAATTAACACCTCATGAATGATATAAGATAATTGATCAAATGTTGCTGATTGTATTTACTTGACAGTTAATTCAACTTTGTTTGTGCATACAACTGAGGGGTTTTACAAAACTTGTACATTTCAGATTGTGCTTCAAGATGATTGTCAAATGTTAGAATTGAAATCAGGACACGACCCACAGATAGTTGCAATGAAAGGTACGAAAAGATGTAAACATGAGGTTTAAAAGACGATAAACTATAGATTTGGGAGCCAGAAGTGTTATGTGGCATGGTAGTAACATGTTCGCGTGACATCAGATAGCAAGCACGTTCCTGACAAATTATGCTCACGCGTCTTGATAACTGCAATACTGCTCCAAGTTGTGTTTTTGATATAACTGACTTACACATTTACATACAATTTTATACCTACCGAGTATCACATGGTATGTATCACCCAACATTGACGCATAAGTTTAAAGGACACTATAACATGGATTGATGATATACTAAGTATAGATACAGGAAATATGTAAATATTCAATGTCATCACCGGATGATAAGCAGTTTCTGTTATCCGGCGAAACAGATTTTGGTCTAAAAGAACCGATCCCCAAAAATAAAAAGGAGACACCGGGTGTTCGGGAACTGGATAGAAGGATGTAATGTCCTACGAGTACCACCCGCCACTCATACATAGTGCCACGAATTTTATGTCTAACCTAGTCCAACTAATTTTATTTATCATAATCTCACCCTCTCTATTCTTCCCCAGCCTTCCGACATATACCAACACTGAAGGAAGAAGAAGTAAAAACGGTAACAGCGTTTTCTCATGAAATACTCGTGATGGATTAATATTAGCCTGTCCCTCGTGTTGGGATAATATTTTTAGTCTCATAATCCCTGAACCACATTACTTTCCCTCTCATGCTTTTGATCGCTGGATTGTCTGGTCCAGATTCGATTATTTACAGACCGCCGCCATATAGCTGGAATATTGCTGAGTGCGGGGTAAAACTAAACTCACTCACCTTCCCTTCCGCCTGGCATTTTCTGCTATGCAAAAGCCAAATAAAGCAAGTGAATTTACATGGAATTATGTGTATTTTAGAGACAGTTAGTCTGGGTTGACATTCCAGTAACAACATAAAGGCACCTGTTTGAAATGTGTAAAGCATTTGTCACGTACAGGCTTCGACCCACTATTCGGTGTTGTTTCCCTTAAGTAGTATGTACACTGGGGGTACGAGATCACTACGCCCTTGAATCGCTACTTGATTGGCAACATGGTGCCGTGAGGTATGATCAGCAACTCCTCCCTGACGAAACCTCTCGGCGGCCCGTCTTTCAAGTAGTACAAGTTCGGCTCGTCGTCTTTGATGTCCACTTTATCCATGCTATAGGGTTTGACCGACCATGTCGGGTCGGTGGCTCGTTTCCGAGTGTCTCCTTCATGTTCCCCCGGCTGGTAGAGGTACCTCACGAGGGCCCTGTCGGGTATCTGTTTCTCCTTTCCATGCGATGGTGCCACCGGATCGGCCGTCACTGATTTCAGTTTGATAGCGTCGGCCGGTTTCTTGCCGGTGAGATGAGTGGTTTCGTGGTTGATAGCCGACACCACTTGAGGTAGCCCCGCTACCCATTCCGTCGATCGTTTTCCTGGGTTGGCCATCTCTCTCGCATACTGATGCCCGAATAAGCGCTCAGCCAAAGTCTGATTGAATCTCTCGACTATGGCTTGGCTGCGATGAGCACCGACCGCGCCACGCCTGACTTGGACGCCGTGCTGGGTTAGCAGTTGTGACACAGCCCCATGAACTCCCGTCCGGGATCGACTTGCAGTTCTGTTGGTCATGTCAGTGGACTGCGCTTGTATATGCGCTCGAACCCGCGGGCTACTTGGGCCGAATCTTTCGCGTTAAGGGTTCGGCTTCTTTGTAGCGACTGGCCACGTCAACAACGTTTAGGGCATACTTGTACCCCTTGTCATGGGGTAGGAACAGGAGGTCGGCCTAGTGGACGCTATTGGGCTTCGGCACACCAAACTTTCTTCTAGGCACGTAGCATGGTGCCGGTAGGTAGATCTGCCATGGGGCTTGTTTTTCCAGCCACGCTTTGGCCTTGCCAGGGATACTCTCACCATTTTGGCAAGCTTATGTATGGCGCTCGCTCCTTTCCAGTACCCACGCGGGCTGTAGTAAATAGCCTCAAATTTTCTCTGGGTCCTTGACATCGTATACATACGACTATGTCTTTGGTTCAATTTTCTCATGCCTGTACGTGTACGTGTTGATCCCTTCGGCGGCTATCAAACGCTTCGTGTCCATCAACGACAGGGACGTCTTGTTTATCGTCAGTCCGTATATCCCGTGCCCTTCACTTCTCAGCGTGTTCATCTGATGCTTGAAGGTGCGGGCCCTGAACAGGGCCTCCTTGAACCTGGCGTGTTTGATGTGTCGTTTCACCACGTACTTCTTGACCCCCTTCGCTTTCCGGATCTCGCCGTTGTCAGCCTTCAGG